CACTTCAGTTACTATCTGAATTAGTTGAAACACTCACATGCCAGGCCAATAAATCAGGTGTGAGACCACGTATATGGCTGCTCAAGGCCGTGACGTGCTATGATATAGACAACGGCAACATGAGACGTTACCGTGAAGGGGGATATAAACAGTGCAATAAAAATACAATTTGAACTTTTGATCTGACAGGTCAAAATTATTAGGGGCGGCATTCTAAGGACTTGCGTCATACTGAGAAAATTGACCGCATGGGACTATGGCTACCCAATTGTATCTAGATGGTTTGTCTTAAATCTGGCTGGGAAATGAAATGTGAATGTTATGAACTGAATTTTTGCGTCTCAATTTCATAATATTGTCTGAAGAAATATCTTTAGAAAATTGCTGAAAGAGGCTGGAGTTGTGGCAAGATGTCAGATGAAACAATAAATGTTGACTGGTGGGAATCGAGTACAGATGCTGATACAAGGGTTACCTGGGAGTTTATCTCTGAATGTCTGTAACCTGAACAGGGTGAAAAAGTCAACAAATGATATACGCAAGATAAAAAAGTTAACAAATATAATAGGATGAATCAGTTAACAAATGGATTTACCCAGGATGGGTATGTTAACATCAGGATGAATCAGTTAACAAATGGATATACCCAGGATATGGGTATGTTAACATCAGAATGATTCAGTTAACAAATGGATATACCCAGGATGAGTATGTTAACATCAGGATGAATCAGCTAACAAATGGATATACCCAGGATGGGTATGTTAACACCTAGGATGAATAGGTTAACAAACTGATATATCCAGGTTTAATAAGTTGAACTGATTTAGTCAGGTTGAAAAGGTAACAAAATGGTTTAGCCAGGATCAATAATTAAACCAACCAATTTAGTCAGGATGAATGATTCAACAAACCAATCTAACCAGGTTACACAAAAATATTAACATAACTAATCGAGCCAGGTTAATCAGTTTACCAAACCAATTAACAGTCATAAAAAAAAAAAACATCACTAAGATAATATACAAACTGAAAAATAATAATAATACTACTACTGCTATGAATGAAACTACCCAGTTAATATTTGTTTAATATCTTGTGTAACTGGTTTGTCACCTTTAAATGTCCAGAACATGGAGTAGCCAGATAACAGTCCCGTATCTGCACATGAAATCATGTCAATGACTTTAACATAAACACAGATAAGATCAGTCTTTCAGGCTGTATAAATACATGTAAACTGACATCTTAACCGAAATGAAAAAAACAAACATCACTGACACTTGCACAAGAACATCATCATCATCACCAAAGTACACCACATGTTGTTGAGTCACCAGTTGCTGCTGACTGTTTTATCATTTAGCTTCACCTTTTTTAATCAACATTAGTAATCTGCAGTATTTCATCCCCGGACGAGCCTAATCCTCTCCAGGGGATTGTGAACAAGCACAATACAACTCAATATAGGTAAACTGCACTCAATAAGTCTCTTACACATGCACAACTCAACGCATGTAAACTTCCCTCAATGAGTCTTTTGCACAGGCGCAACTCAATATATGTAAACTGCACTCAATGAGTCTCTTATACCCACACAACTCAATATATGTTAACTGCACTCAATGAGTCTCTTATACCACAACTCAATATATGTAAACTGCACTCAATGAGTCTCTTATACCCACACAACTCAATATATGTAAACTGCACTCAATGAGTCTCTTATACCACAACTCAATATATGTAAACTGCACTCAATGAGTCTCTTACACCCACACAACTCAATATATGTAAACTGCTCTCAATAAGTCTCTTACACCCACACAACTGAATACATGCAAACTGCTATCAATAAGTCTCTTACACCCGCACAATTCAATACATGACAATTTTTGTACAAAAAAAAAGAAAACCACTGACTGAACTACTTTAGTGACCCTTACAAAAGTACAGTTTACATCCTCCCTTAGTTATGTAATTTATGTTTCTCAAATGAGTTTTATAAATACATGTACACTGTGTTTAAGAAATCAATGATTACAAGCAAACCTGATGTTTACAGAACATACACTAAATCACCTGGTGCGTACAATATGTACAAAAGAACAGTACATGCTCACTGTTCTGAGCATATTGTGTATATTTATGTTGACATCTGGTTAACTCTATGCGTCTCAAATACCCCACCAGGTGTGGCCAGCCACTGCTCCTGTAAACTGACAAGGCACCAGATGTTGATAACTTCTTTGTGTCTGGCCTGTGCAGGCTCACAAATTCTGGCTAGATTTGTGTACACACAGGCCGGTATATCTTGCTGAAAGACTTGCAGACAATATATACTTCATCACTGAAAGTAGTGGACATGCAGACAGTACATCTTGCATCACTGAAAGTAGTGGACATGCAGACAGTACATCTTGCATCAATGAAAGTAGTAGACATGCAGACAGTATATCTTGCATCAATGAAAGTAGTAGACATGCAGACAGTATATCTTGCATCAATGAAAGTAGTAGACATGCAGACAGTATATCTTGCATCAATGAAAGTAGTAGACCAGCATACAGTACATCTTGCATTACTGAAAGTAGTAGACATGCAGACAGTACATCTTGCATCAAGGAAAGTAGTAGACATGCAGACAGTACATCTTGCATCACTGAAAGTAGTGGACATGCAGACAGTATATCTTGCATCAATGAAAGTAGTAGACATGCAGACAGTACATCTTGCATCAATGAAAGTGGTGGACATGCAGACAGTATATCTTGCATCAATGAAAGTAGTAGACATGCAGACAGTACATCTTGCATCAATGAAAGTAGTGGACATGGAGACAGTACATCTTGCATCAATGAAAGTAGTAAACATGCAGACAGTACATCTTGCATCAATGAAAGTAGTAGACATGCAGACAGTACATCTTGCATCAATGAAAGTAGTGGACATGCAGACAGTATATCTTGCATCAATGAAAGTAGTGGACATGCAGACAGTACATCTTGCATCAATGAGAGTAATAGACACGCAGACAGTACATCTTGCATCAATGAAAATAGTAGACATGCAGACAGTACATCTTGCATCAATGAAAATAGTAGACATGCAGACAGTACATCTTGCATCAATGAAAGTAGTGGACATGGAGACAGTACATCTTGCATCAATGAAAGTAGTAGACATGCAGACAGTACATCTTGCATCAATGAAAGTAGTGGACATGCAGACAGTACATCTTGCATCAATGAAAGTGGTGGACATGCAGACAGTACATCTTGCATCAATGAAAGTAGTAGACATGCAGACAGTACATCTTGCATCAATGAAAGTAGTGGACATGCAGACAGTATATCTTGCATCAATGAAAGTAGTGGACATGCAGACAGTACATCTTGCATCAATGAGAGTAATAGACACGCAGACAGTACATCTTGCATCAATGAAAATAGTAGACATGCAGACAGTACATCTTGCATCAATGAAAATAGTAGACATGCAGACAGTACATCTTGCATCAATGAAAGTAGTGGACATGGAGACAGTACATCTTGCATCAATGAAAGTAGTAGACATGCAGACAGTACATCTTGCATCAATGAAAGTAGTGGACATGCAGACAGTACATCTTGCATCAATGAAAGTGGTGGACATGCAGACAGTACATCTTGCATCAATGAAAGTAGTAGACATGCAGACAGTACATCTTGCATCAATGAAAGTAGTGGACATGCAGACAGTACATCTTGCATTACTGAAAGTAGTGGACATGCAGACAGTACATCTTGCATCACTGAAAGTAGTGGACATGCAGACAGCACATCTTGCATCACTGAAAGTAGTGGACATGCAGACAGTACATCTTGCATCACTGAAAGTAGTGGACATGAACAGTACATCTTGCATCACTGAAAGTAGTAGGCATGCAGACAGTACATCTTGCATTACTGAAAGCACAGACATGCAGACAGTAAATCTTGTATCTTGGAAAGTGAGAAACAAGCAGACTAGTGTACTTTAAACATATCAAACTCTTGATTTCTTCACTGAGGATATTTCCCTCCTAGGCCTCCGTGACTGAAAAATGAATAAAGAAAAACACAGTATACACAGAAAGTATACTGTACCAATTTATGCACAAAATAAAACATTTTGTGAAGATAAGTTTCAGTAAGAAAACAGCCAGGTGAGCACATAGTAACATGGATGCACTGTTGCATACAGAAATATTCATATTAATTAATATCAGACACCATGATATCCACATCTGTTCTGGGACCACATTCTGAGTGGAAAAATAAAAAGAATAGCGCACTACTTTTCTAATAAGCATATAAAAATAAAGCAACTAATTAGAGCTTTTCTTAAATCCGATATGTCTGGCCAAAAGGTGCAGATATCACCTCCTAGCTGTCTTCTTCTTCTTCTTCTTTGCTGTCCTGGCTGCAAACTTCGGGGAAAAGTTCTTCTTTTTTGTTTATTTCTAGACTTTGGTCTTGTTCCAAAACCTGAGTGCTGCATGCACATCCATTTTTACAGATCTGGTTTATTTGAATTAATGTTGGCTCCTCACCGTTCAAGCAGATGTACTCCGGATTCCAAGGATACACCTCTAATTAATTAGTCGAATGTAGAACTTGCTTGTTGGGGGGGATAGTGGGTCTCTTCTCTTCCCAGGAAAATGGGGCCACGGAACTCATATGGGGAAACCCAGCTGTAAACCACAACATAACATACCAACCGCCCTTATATGGATGAATAAAGAGGAAGATGAAGACACTCATAAGCATATGATATACACACCCACTCAAATAAAAGCCTTGAGGAAGCAATGTATGTACACAAGAAAGCACACATCCCAAAATGTGTATGCAAAACAAAAATCTTGCCATATACAAACAAATACACCATGTACTCCTTCATGTGTACGGGCTGTGTACAGCAGAAAATATGTATAGAATGTACAGTAATTGGATATATAACCTAATGTGTGGCGATTATCACTTGCTCTCCTCCTGCCGACGCTTCTTGATGTACAAGTTCAACAGTTTCATCTGCGAAAGACACAAGCAGAATTAGGTTTGCCAGTTGTAAAGCTGTTATTTGTATGCTATTGCTATGAACGTCACTGCACACTGGGCATTCCCATGACTGCACAGTCACACAATGCTGCAGCCACTCCAAGGTACCTCTACTGACTGTTGACACGACAAGTTGGTTACAATGTCTCCTATCCTGACGTCAGAAACTGCATAGACATGCTTCACAACCAGGTCAAGGAATGGTGGGAGCATCAAAGATCCATCATAATCTATCAGTCTTGTCCACACAGTGTTGATGAGATCAGCTCTGTGCAAAGCTTCTCTGATGCATTACTCGCCAGCCAGTCAGCTCGTTAAGTGCCTTTCACTCTGGCATGCCTAGATGTATGGATCCAGGTTTAGAGCTATAAACATGGTTCTGTCGGAATGACAAGATGGAGTTACAATGTGAAGATGGAAGAGGACTTGTATCAGAGAGACTGTGATGATCCATTTTCCCCATCAGAAGGAGAAAACACGTGCAGACTATTGTTGTAAATTATGTGTGAATGGCGGAGCGTATGAAGCAGACTGAATTATCCCAGGAAAAGCATGAGTTTGGCAGCAGTTTGCTTGGAGTGTGAAACTAAATATCTCAGAATTCACTAGGGTTAGGTTAGATTATGAGAAGGGCAGAGGGCGAGAGACTTCACTTTGGCCTGATGGCACTTTGAAAAAGAACACCTGAATGCCTGCACGGAATTTGTGTGAGTTTCTACATGTGGCCGACAATGCAGGGGAATCCTGGCTATGACAACTGACTGCAAACTTGAGAGATGCCTGTGATGTCTGCTACCTGATTCTGTGCCGATGAACTGTAAGCATTTAATAGTTCAAGTCTGATGACTGATGTGGTCGGGAGAGTTCCAACAGCGAGTAAGTACTTAAAAACTAGTAAATATACAGATAGTGTATGATACCACTGTTACCTGAACACTAAACATGTAGTCATGACTGACACTGACATCTATGTGACTGAACATAGCCACTGACACTGACATCTATGTGACTGAATATAGTCACTGACACTGACAACTATGTGACTGAACATAGCCACTGACACTAACATCTATGTGACTGAACATAGCCACTGACATTGACATCTATGTGACTGAATAAACAGTTGTACTGACTGCCTTGAGTTACCAACAGTTGATCAATGTCGCTAGAGAAGACTGCGTGTACTGAGCCAACAAAACAAGTACACTCAGAGACAAAGCGTGTTAAGATTGCAGTGCAGCATCACTGCAGAAGTCGTTTACAAGATTATGCGAGTGCCTTGTGACAGAGTAAGAAGTCTGTGATAGAGACAAAATGAGAAATGAAATGATGGAGATGGGTGAGAGAGAGAGAAAGGGGAAATAGAGAGAGGAGAGGAAAGGGAGATGGAGAGATGCATGAAAGAGAGAGAGAGAGAGAGAGAGAGAGGGAAAGAGAGGGGGGAGGATATTGAGGTTAAAAAAAAAAGGAGGAAGAAGAAACAGTGATTTCCTGTACTCTATCTAGTGTAAGTAAGCTAGAGGTGAGAAGACAGATGAAGAAACTACCCACCCTATGACTGTTGAGTGTTGTTGACATATAGCCCTACTTCACCAAGCTTTACCCCCAGGTCATGCAACTGTGTTAGCATCAGAAATTCATCTTTATCAAGCCAGCCTACTTTGTACAGCATTGATGATAGCACACCAAAAGTAAATATAATAAAGTTACTTATCACATACCCAGAATCAACTCAACAAGTTACACACCAGCTAGACAAAACTGCTGACATACCCAGAATCAACTTAACAAGTTACACATCAGATTAACAAAGCTGCTGACATACCCAGAATCAACTCAACAAGTTACACACCAGCTAGACAAAACTGCTGACATACCCAGAATCAACTCAACAAGTTACACACCAGATAAACAAAACTGCTGACATACCCAGAATCAACTCAACAAATTACACACCAGCTAGACAAAACTGCTCAAATACCCAGAATTAACTCAACAAGTTACACACCTGATTAACAAAACTGCTGACATACCCAGAATCAACTCAACAAGTTACACACCAGATAAACAAAACTGCTCACATACCCAGAATCAACTCAACAAGTTACACACCAGATAAACAAAACTGCTGACATACCCAGAATCAACTCAACAAGTTACACACCAGATTAACAAAGCTGCTGACATACCCAGAATCAACTCAACAAGTTACACACCAGCTAGACAAAACTGCTGACATACCCAGAATCAACTCAACAAGTTACACACCAGATAAACAAAACTGCTGACATACCCAGAATCAACTCAACAAGTTACACACCAGATTAACAAAGCTGCTGACATACCCAGAATCAACTCAACAAGTTACAAAACTGCTGACATACCCAGAATCAACTCAACAAGTTACACACCAGATAAACAAAACTGCTGACATACCCAGAATCAACTCAACAAGTTACACACCAGATTAACAAAGCTGCTGACATACCCAGAATCAACTCAACAAGTTACACACCAGCTAGACAAAACTGCTCACAACACCCAGAATCAACTCAACAAGTTACACACCAGATAAACAAAACTGCTGACATACCCAGAATCAACTCAACAAGTTACACACCAGATAAACAAAACTGCTGACATACCCAGAATCAACTTAACAAGTTACACATCAGATTAACAAAGCTGCTGACATACCCAGAATCAACTCAACAAGTTACACACCAGATTAACAAAGCTGCTGACATACCCAGAATCAACTCAACAAGTTACACACCAGCTAGACAAAACTGCTGACATACCCAGAATCAACTCAACAAGTTACACACCAGATAAACAAAACTGCTGACATACCCAGAATCAACTCAACAAGTTACACACCAGATTAACAAAGCTGCTGACATACCCAGAATCAACTCAACAAGTTACAAAACTGCTGACATACCCAGAATCAACTCAACAAGTTACACACCAGATAAACTCAAACAAAACTGCTGACATACCCAGAATCAACTCAACAAGTACCCACACTCAACAAGTTACACACCAGATAAACAAAAACTGCTGACATACCCAGAATCAACTCAACAAGTTACACACCAGATAAACAAAACTGCTGACATACCCAGAATCAACTCAACAAGTTACACACCAGCTAGACAAAACTGCTCACATACCCAGAACAATCTCTGTCACTAGTGGTCAACCACAGCAAGATAATTGTCTAATTCTTGCCTTATACTTTTCTCTTCAGCATAGTTTTTTTTATAGTTTTTTAAATAAGAGTTTTTTAACTGGGCCAAAATATTAACTTCTATTATCCCCTGCCTGAATTCCCCACAATACCTCCATACGTCATCTTCATCATATAAATAACAAACTTAGTCCTGACAGAAAATCCCTATGTGCGTTTTCTCACATTTAACACATGAAACATAATCTTGTGTTTTGGGAGAAAAATACATGAAAAAAAAAGCATAAATCATCAAATACCTTGAACAAGCCAGGTATAAGATTGGGAAGTGAGGCCTCCAACAACTCTTTTGGCATTTTGTCTACAACCTGGCAAAAGAAAATAAATAAAAATTAACTTAAAATTCTGAGGAGAAAGAAAGAATGATACACACACACACACACGCCTCGAGTGCTGGAGGTCCCGGTTTCAAGCCCCGATGAAGGCTAGGATTTTTTTACGTCGACTTCTAGTAATTTCCCCTGGTCTCTGGGTAGTAATATTGTTGGCTGTTGGAAATTAAAAAAAAAGAGTAGCCTAACGGCGCTGCCTGGGCAAAATCTGGAGTTAGAAATCTACCTAAAGTATTTCAGGATCCTCGCTGGTGCAACGGAGTTCGTGCACTGCGTTGAGATTCTTTGGACTTTGAGTTAGAAATAGAATGGAGCACTTATGGGTTACACCCGTGTGCCATGACGTTGGTCTGTTGAATAAACATAAACACAAATCTTGGGTTTAAATCTGCAATGAATCAGATTTTTTAAAAACCTGGGCTCCCATGCTGACACATTCTAACCTGGGCTCCCAGGCTGACACATTCTAACCTGGGCTCCCAGGCTAACACATTCTAGCCTGGGCTCCCAGGCTGACACATTCTAACCTGGGCTCCCATGCTGACACATTCTAACCTGGGCTCCCAGGCTAACACATTCTAACCTGGGCTCCCAGGCTGACACATTCTAACCTGGGCTCCCAGGCTGACACATTCTAACCTTGGCTCCCAGGCTGACACATTCTAACCTGGGCTCCCAGGCTGACACATTCTAACCTCGGCTCCCAGGCTGACACATTCTAACCTTGGCTCCCAGGCTGACACATTCTAACCTGGGCTCCCAGGCTGACACATTCTAACCTGGGCTACCAGGTAAAGTCCTGGGAAGTAAAGGTGATAGGTGCGACGAAGACATCATCACCCATTGAGTGTCGATTGAATGAATGAATTAATCCATCAAGAACTGACACCCTTGCACTCAGGACATTCTTACACGTGCTTCGTTTCCTTCTTCAGTAGCCAACGAAGAGTCAGCAAGCTAACGGTATCAGTTGCAACCTGATAAAAAGTCCACTTATGCTTCTCTCTGTGATGAATCACTTCCAGAACCTCTTCACACCTCCTGCTGAATTATTCTTTCTTAATTGAATCAGCACCAAAAGGACATTACAAATATTGGTAGGATCATATTTCTGATGCGCCACAGGCATGAACAGTTTCTCGACTTTATTCTAAGCAGTTTTCTTGTTTTTGTTGTTCCCACAGATTTGTGAAGGTCCTTTTTTTTTCTGAAATGTTTATTTTGTTTGGAGAGTGATGTTTCCACTCAAAGTTAGAGATTCTAGTTTCAAATGATTTGTGTGTGGATGTGTTCATGGAAACGGACTCTACTGGCTATATACATGTGTGCCTTTTTTTTCCCCAGGAGCTTCTTGGTCTGTTTCCTTGTTTCTAGTCCTTGTTTATTTACTTGCTTGCGGACATATTTTGTTTGTTTGTTTGTTTGTTTCCAATCAGTTTTTTGTTTTTATTTCCTTGCCTCTAGTCACACATCTTGCAATCTTGCATCCTTTGATTGCAGTTAAAGTTTGTTCTTTTTCTTTGCATGTACTCATATTTGTTTGTTTTCTTGTTCTCAGTCACATTTTTTTCCCCTTGCTTCTAGTCATATTTGTTGTTTTCCTGCTTTCAGTCGTGTATTTCCCCCCCCCCCCCCCCAAAGCTATTAGAAATATTTTCCCCCTTGCTTCCTATACTATTTTCTGTTTCTTTCTTTAGAAAAACTGCAAGTGTACTTCAAAGAACAGTGACACTGACCATAATCTATCATGCATGTAATAAGAGGCCACTTCTTCTTCTTCTTCACTTCCACTTTTACCGCTGTGGGTGTCGAGGTTGTAGAGTTTCTCTGATTTTATCCTTCCATTTTGTTCTTGGTCTACCTCGTGCTCTACGTCCTTCTTCTCTTTCCATGTATGCTTTGTATGGTATGGTGTCACAGGGCATTCTCTCTAAGTGGGCAAACCATTTCACTTGCTGTCTTTGTATGTAATTTAGAATTGGTTCTGTGCCGACTTTTTCTCTTATGATCTCATTCCTGATCTTATCTCTTATGGTCACTCCTACAGGCCTTCTCAGACATCTCATCTCCATGGTTACTAATTTTCTTTTATGGTTTGTTGCGAGTTGAAATAAATATAAATATAAAAATATAAGAGGCCACTAAGGGAGGTTAATATAATTTACTATCCAACAGAAACATGTTGCTGCAAAAACCAACCATTTAAAAAATTTCACTACACATGGCTTATGCTCCAATGGGAGAAGAAAGTCATAGAAATAAAATAAAAATTTACATATCCTCAACACTACACAGACAAAGCAGGCCTTAACTTTTAATTAACTCTAATACAAGACCACAAGATCTGATACTGCAATACATGCTCCGAGAGAAGAGAATACAGAAAGAACAAAGAAAAAAACAACAAATAAAGCAAAGAAAACAACACAGTTTTTTTAAAACTGGCCACACACAAACACATCAGCCAAACCTTAGTCATCATTTGTATAGCCCCGCAAGCCATGTGGTATTCCATAGTCTGTATGATCGGGGTCAGGATGCGGAAGTTCTGCTCTGGGGGAAGCACTTGTACAATTGTATCCTCCACTTCTGATGCTGCGTATGGAACCTGTCAATGGTATGAAACAATACACTCTAATATGAATCTTTACCATTAGTAATTTGTATAACATATGAAAACATCTGTCTATATATATAAAGGGTGTTTGTAAAGTTTCACCACACTTTGTATGTAGAACAAATCTGCGAAACAAAATATATGGCATTATTAAAAAATGTGCTCCACAGACAAATTTAAGCAATATGCAGTGAATGGCTGTTGTCTGCTGGAGTAATTCCGCACACACAAAACAGAATAGTGTTATCAATAGAAGAAACCATATTTTGTTCAAGTGTTTCAAAATGGTGGTCGATACAGATCGATGGTTTTTCAAAGATTTATAGGAATTCTTCCTGATAAACAACCTCGTAATTGCATTATTATTAGAAATCTGTTGAATAAGATTTGATGAATATTTCATTGGTACTTTCTAGCTTTTCCAAAAGAGCATAAATAAGACCATAGCAGTGACTACTGTAACTAATTTAATGGCCCTTATAGTAAATTTTTTGATGACGTCATGAACTTGCTTTTTGAAAAAAAAAAAATCTGTTTTGCATACAAAGTGTAGTGAGACTTTACAAACAACCTGTATATGTAACACACATCTCTATGTTTCTGTCTTTATGTGAAAAAACAACAACAACAACAACAAACAAAAACCTTTTGCGTAAGTGGTGCGTCAGGTAAATGGTAGCAAAAACATATTTTTTATAGACTAATCGGCACATAACAGGGGATTTAGTAAAACATTATTCCAGTTGTCTTTACTTTTTAGGGCATTTCTAGTTGCCCTTTTTAGGTGTAAACATTTACAGATGTAATACTCATTATCACTTTATTCACTTTCTATGTACTTATATATGTATCAACTCTTCTGTCCACTAAAGCATAGATATAACATATGTATTAACTGCTCTGTATATCTATCTAGTGAATATTATACATACAAATCCATCCCTCTAATTATCTATGTAGATTGTAATCTGGAGACTATAACCTATAAAACATATTTAAGACACACATAACAAATATTTAAGACATCCAAAGCATATTTAAGACAGACATAACAAATATTTAAGACACACAAACATATTTAAGACAGACATAAAAATATTTAAAACAGACATAAAACATATTTAAGATAGACATAAAAATATTTAAGACAGACATAAAACACATTTAAGACTGGCATAAACTTACTTAGGACTCACATAACACATATTATAGACAATTTTTTAAGACAAACACAGATATAAAACATATCTGAAAAACAAAAACATTTAAGAAACATAAAAACATACTCAAGACATATAGAACACATTAAAGACCCTCAAATCCCATTTTAAATGTGCGAAAACAAATTTGACATACATACAAAAATTAAGCCACACAAAACAATTAAGACAGAGCACACATGGAATTCCCCAAATTCACTGACGTTGACTGTGATAACATAACAAATCATTGTAACACAACTACAAAATACACAGAAATGTGTATCTGAGCGATGAGGTAATTAAAAGCTTTCAGTTAGAAAAATTTTACCAAAGTATTCTGAAAACATAAAAGTGTAAAAAAAAATGAAGTGATGAAAAAATAGAAATGTGTAAAAGCATTTGTACAAGGAAAGAACAACAGAAGAATAAAAGCAGAAATCTTAAATTAGATGAATTTAGTTTGTTTCAAAATAGGCAAAGTTTTAGGAAATGCATAAATTTAGTTAAATATCTTTTTCTTCTTCACGTTCACCAGCTGTAAACTCCGGTAGAAAGTTCTGGTTGTTCGTCCACTTTTGGACTGTAGTCCTGTTCCAGAACCTGAATGTTGCCTGTGCATCCATTTTACAAATGTGACTTATTTGTATGCAGACTATTGGTTCTTTGCCTCTTAGGCAGATGCACTTTGACTTCGAAGGAAGCTCCCAATTAGTCAACTCTCATGATAATGCTTTTGGGAAGGCAATGGGTCTATTCTTCTGTTCCCTGTAATAGGGCCCCGGAACCCACAGGGAGAAGTTAAAATATGACCAACGAAATTATAGACCGAATGTGACACAAATTCCTGGTGTTGGTTTGAAGGCACTTATTTGGGGTGGAGAAGAGAACAGAATTACTGCCCCCTTTCCCCCATCCCCAGCAGGTGGTAACATTTGACTGATTAGAGATTTGCTGAAATAGGATTCTTGGGCTGAAAGGGATATCACAGCCTATCTGTAAACCACAACACAACATTTCAATAGTCTTTTTAAGTGTAAACGCATAAGAAGAAGATATGACAAAAACATGAAATAAACAAGTTTAACAGATAAATAATATAAAGAAACAAGAGAATGTGCGGCGTCTGTGGCTTAGTTGCTCCAAACCCCTCCATAACTTCATCATTTCCAAGATGTCCAGTCTGATTCCAGCTGTGGGCACTTTGGCAGCAGACCACCTTACATTTAATTCAACAGGTGTATCCAGAGCCAATCGTTCAGAAAGCAACGGCAAACTAATGAATGTAAAACTGACTACTAAAACCAACAAGAGGCAACAAATGCTGGGGTTGGTTCTGCAACGTCCTGTTAAAGATACTGGTGGCTCCTCTAGAAACAATACCATATGCATTTACTGCCTGTGCATATTTCTGGATTGTTCCGGGGCTAACTGTCTGTTCACCAGTTTTTTAAATAGGAAAGTGAGGAACATTTCATTTGAATTCAACTGGCACAGGAAGGGAGCAAGTATGGGGAAAACCCGATTGAGGTGAAGCTGAAACCTCCACTAAGACAAACATGTTATGCAAGAACTAACAAGATAACATGTGCAGCCTACATGTACACAAAAAGCAAGGCCTGGGTTCAATACAGCTAATCAACAATCAACTTCACAAACATGGACCACTTAAGAAGCATCGATCTGGGTCTGAAAGAGTGAACCAAGCTACACCATCAATGAATGATCAACTTTCATTATCAAGGTATAAAATGGGGTAACATTTAACACAGCTAGGCCACTAACCAATAATCACAAACGAACAAACAAACTTTATTTTCAGATAGAGCCAATAAAGAACAAAGCAGGGTGTGCAATTTTGACCAAACTTCTCACTGAAAAGTCAGATGTAAAATACCCCCCCCCCCCCCCCCCCCCCCCCCCCCCCCCCCCCCCCCCCCCCTTATTCTTTTTTTCATAAAGGAGAAAAAACCCCCATTTCCCACCCCCCCCCCCAATTCAAACATACATTTCCATATTCTGAATATTTCTGTATACAGTATAAAAAAAAAAAAACAAAAAACATCCTGCATTACTCTGTAATATAGCTTGCATAGAGCAAAAAAGTATTTTGGCTAAACCATTCTGTCATATTCTGTATACCTGTATCTGCTTGATTTTTAATGAACAGGTAAAAAGCATAAAGATATGCAAGATTAGAAGAAATAATCCCAGGCCAAAGCAAAACCCCAGACCTTGGCAAAGCTGTGACCTTTCAACACTATTTGAAAGCTAATTCATGACTTCTGTTACAAAGGATGTCAGTTTAGCAAAACTATTGTTTCCGACTCTGGGGATGCAAGCAACTGACCTGCCACCAGGAAAATTGAAGAGCAATAATTTGATTACATCTTACCCTGACTTCCTTCTGAAATTAGGAAAATACAGAAAATCTTAATTGAGAAATGAGATTCAATAAAACTATATTCCGGAAATTATTGACTAACAAAGTAAAAGGAAGTGATTGGTCTAAAAAAAAAAGTGGGACTAAAGGAGCTGTGAGTGAAAATATGAATTATAATTAATTAACTGATAAAGTTATATGTTGTAGGAGACGAGAGGATCCGAGCACTTATGGGCTAAAGGGTTCAATTTGCAGTGAGGATGATCTGTCGACTAACTAACAAGCTATTCTTATAAAAAGGATTCAAATATAAATCAATCAGTTGCCATCTTCAAACTGAAGGTTGGCTGCAATGGACCTACAACATGCCCCGTCTCTTGTCTTGGTTGTATATATTGGAACAGAGTTTTAGCGATGATGATTTATAAAGAGGGGCTACAGCAAAAGTTAAGGACACAGAACTAGTTAAGGACACAGCACAATTTAAGGGCAGTGCACAAGTTAAGGATACAGCACAATTTAAGGACACAGCACAAGTTAAGGACACAGCACAAGTTAAGGACACAGCACAAGTTAAGGACACAGCACAAGTTAAAGACACAGCACAAGTTAAGGACACAGCACAAGTTAAGGACACAGCACAAGTTAAGGACACAGCACAAGTTAAGGACACAGCACAAGTTAAGGACACAGCACAATTTAAGGGCAGTGCACAAGTTAAGGATACAGCACAATTTCAGGACACAGCACAAGTTAAGGACACAGCACAAGTTAAAGACACAGCACAAGTTAAAGACACAGCACAAGTTAAGGACAAATCACAATTTAAGGACACAGCACAAGTTTAAGACACAGCACAAGTTAAGGACACAGCACAAGTTAAGGACACAGCACAATTTAAGGACAGTGCACAAGTTAAGGACACAGCACAATTTAAGGACACAGCACAAGTTAAGGACACAGCACAAGTTTAAGACACAGCACAAGTTAAGGACACAGCACAAGTTTAAGACACAGCACAAGTTAAGGACACAGCACAAGTTTAAGACACAGCACAAGTTAAGGACACAGCACAATTTAAGGACAGTGCACAAGTTAAGGACACAGCACAAGTTAAGGACACAGCACAAGTTTAAGACACAGCACAAGTTTAAGACACAGCACAAGTTAAGGACACAGCACAAGTTTAAGACACAGCACAAGTTAAGGACACAGCACAAGTTTAAGACACAGCACAAGTTAAGGACACAGCACAAGTTAAGGACACAGCACAAGTTAAGGACACAGCACAAGTTTAAGACACAGCACAAACTATGGGCCCTTGTCTAGGCATATTGGAAGTAGGGTTCCTTAGATACACCAGCTAACTGTGCCAGTTTGCTCTTGACAGACAAGCCACTTCCTTTGCC